TTCATTGGTGCATCAGTTTCTTACATCAAGAACGACTGGACGTAGGTGGTTAGGCACCTCAGTATGAAGCTTGTTGCGTGGCATCACAAGGGAAATTTACTCGCTGAGCCTATGGTAGCTATTTTGAAAAAAAATAACCTCTATCAAAAGATAAGTCTCTTCTAAATCCGTCATTTCTTTGTTTCAACTTTTCTTTTTCTTGTTTTATTTATCCTGACATAAGCTTCTATATTACATGCTTGCTAGTGTATCCGACTCAGGAAGTAACAACTTCACCATGGGCCGCGAGATCCATTGACAGCTGGAGGAGGAAAGTTTCATTGCCAATCATCAGCTTGCTTGGAACCCGACAACGATGTCGATCCATTGCTTCTGCCACAAGATGGGGCTGGTTGTCAAGGCAGGTCTTGATGCGCTTGGAATGAAACCAAGACGCATTCGTCATAGCACTTTGGGTAGGTTTCCGGAGGTTCAAGTGATGGCTGTAATTGATGAGGCAGAGGAGGTACTTGATGTCTCCAACACCACTGATTTGGATCGGGGTGGTAATATCAGTGATGATGATGATGACTTGGATAGCAATCACAGTAGTGATTCTAATGAATCAACTCCTGATTCTGATCAAGGCAAAGAAGAAGATGCTGAACAGCAAGATGAGCCTCAAAATTACCAAAATCGCAAGAAAGCTTATCTTCTTGGTGACACATGTATGAAACAACTGGCTAAAGATGTATGTTCTTTTTTTGTGAAATTCTAATCTTTAGTCTGATATATTAATTTTGCATAATTTTTTGTTTTATTTGTTTGTTCACATTGTTAGATGGACACAGTGAACAAGAAGCTGACCCGGTCAAGCGGTCACCGGGCCAACTTCAATCGGCGTCGAGAGAGGGCTAATGACCAGCGTAAAGTAGAAAAATTACCTCAACTGAAGGCCCTTCTATCAGGCCATGGTATCCGATGGGGCATTCAGGCTGAACGTTGGGAGAGAATGTGGGCGGCTCGAGATGTAAGTTGTATTTGTCTATTTCTTTGATGATATGAGTTTGATACTGACTAATGTAATCCTTCTTTCAGCTCATTGATAGAGTTATGAAAGACGATCTGGCCGAAGTCCATTCTAAGAAGCACCGTCCAAAGAAGGATGGTAAGAAATACGGCTATTTTGAAGAGGCGATCTTTTCAGTGGCAGATTGGCAAGCGATGAGAGACATGTTGGACATTCTCACTGTGAGTCTTTTTTATTTAAACTCAAAATTGATTTCTTAATTAAATCTCAAATTCAATGTCTTACAATTTTGAAACATTGCTCTTCATTACAGTCTTACAAGATATAACTTGTGACATGGAGGGGAATAAACCTACTGGATGTTTAGTTTTGGTCAAGTATGTTCAGCTCAAGGCCGCAATGGACAAACGATTAAAGCGAATGCACTCGAATGATCCACTTTACCCCATGGTGGACATCATGATTGATAAAATTATTTCATATTTAAATGAATCTCTTGAATGCGACACACTTATTCTAGCCGCTATCTTCCACCCCGGTCTTAGAGTCAAAATTTTTACTCACTCTTTTGGGATGGGCTCTGAAGGCAACAATCGTGCTGAGGAACTATTGAGACTTGTTTTTACTGAAAAACGTCAAGAACTTAAAATCAATAATCAACCAGCAGCTACTCCTCCACGATGCGATTCCCCTGAGGCTGACAGTTTTGGATCAAAAGCCTTGAATTTCTTTGACAAGGTCGTAACGTCAAGTGAGCTTGATGAGCTTGATCGATACCTCCAAGGTATTGATCCAATGGTATCTGGTGGTTTAAACAATCCACAATTTGTGTTGGATTGGTGGAAGGTATGTGAAAGTTTCTCATTCTTGTCACCTTGGATCTAATTGTATAACATACTAATATTCATTTCATCACAGGCTCATGCCGGTAAATACCCAGTATTATCACTATTGGCTCAAGATTATCTAGCAACACCAGCTGCTTCTGGTGCACCAGAAAGATCTTTCTCTGTCGCCGGAAAAATTTGTGTTGCCGAACGTGGTGGTTTAGTTCCTCGAATGATCAAGATGTTAGTAAGTAGTCAATTATGGACCTTAGAAGGTATACCCTTAAAAGGTGATTTTGAGGAGGTGGGAAAGGTGATTGAGTTTGCAAAGAGAGCAATTCAAAAGAAGACCAGAAATACTTGTTTTGAATTTTTAATTCAATTCATCATTTTTATATTTCTTGACACTCGTTTCCCCCGTTCTCCCTCTTGTTAACCTTTCTTTACAATCTTGACAATGAAAGTTCTTAATGTTTCTTTACTGTCCTTACGTCAAAGCCTGTTTTATCTTGTTTTTTTTTCACCTTTTCACAAAGATGAAAAAAACGCTTTTTTTCGCCCAAAACACTGTGAAACGCTGTGATGAAAAACCGCGCTTCCAACTACCATCTTGTGACAAAAGCCCGCCTAAGTTACCGCTACAGCTACCAAGTCTGTCTACCAAAAAAAAAGCTACGTTACCAAGATCAAGGCTTGCAGCGCTGCGTAGCACGGCGAGCCAGGCTTGGTGATGGTACGGCGTTCAGCGACTAGAGCAGCAGGGGCTGGAGAAGTGGAGGGTTGATAATCTAACACAAGTTGTTGGAGGTGTTCAAATACTTGGTCAAGAGTGAGTAGTGTGTCGGCAGTCTCAGCAGTGTGAGCCAATAAGTCTCTAGTAGAATGGTAACGAGGAGAAAGCTTAAATAGTAACATATGTGCAAGTATATCATCATCAATTTTAAAAGATACCTCAGTCATTTCATGAGTAATCTTGCAGTATTCAGTGAGAAAAGATTCAAGTGAACTATCAGAGCATTTGAGATTTAAAAATTCACGTAAAATACGGGCACGATTACGAGCTTTGGTAGAGGCATATAGTTTAACTAACGCATCCCAGATGGCCTTAGGATCTTTAATGTTGGTGGGATTGATAACTAAGGCGCAATTTTCTGGACTTAATTTTCGGGAGATAAACCCGGCAGCTTTCTTGCGTCCGCGTTGATAGTCAAGCTTGATCGCGGCAGTGGCGTCCTTGTTGGGTTCAGCTTCAGTACCATCTACAATACCATCTAAATCACCCTCCATAAAATGGGCAAGCATCAACGGTGACCACCGTTGCCAATCATGCTCCAAAGGAGCAATGTCTTTGGCTTCAGAGGTAGATTGAGTGGTTGACATGATGAAAGGATCAGGAGAGATGGTGATAGTGCTCGATGACTGAGAGTGGGTTGGTGACGATGAATGATTGGTGCTGGATTTGTTCGGTGATTCGAAGCTCATGAATAGCAGTAGCGCTTAAGTCTGATTAAGACGAATATGCTGGGCTCATAACCTAATGATGTAACGAAGGCCAGGTGACTGGTAGAGAGTCACGTATTAGTGATGTAGTTAAGCGCTGCGGCTGAAGTCACTAATAAGTGAGCAAGAAAGAAATGCACCTGTCGTAAAGGTGGCACAAATAAAGAGATGAGAAGTTTGAGTGAAGAAAACAATTAGAACACACAAACTACAGCTCTTTATAGTGAGAATTCTTTCTAGACATAGGTTTAGTATTCGAGAGTGGTTGTGAGTATCATTCACCACATTGGGATGAGTGGTCATAGAGCTGAAACGAGAAGAGAAAAAGAACAGCGTAGAACAAATAGTTATGGACCTAAAGAAGAATGAATAGGATGTTGGCTATTTTTATAGAAGGAGAGAAACATGATCAAAAAGAGAAAAATAAGAAAACAGCGACTTCAATAATATGAGTATTCCCTTGAGATGCAAGCTTCTCCCACACAAGTGGCATATATAGCTAGCCTCTTCATCAAGCTTCAATACATAACCAACAATGAATCATACTGTTTGTAGTATCATTGAACAATTCCTCACTACTACCTGGCAACTTGCAACAACATATCCCAAGATGGCCCGACTCTGAATGTTGTCAATGTTTTTTGAGGAACCATCATGTTTAAGTATATGAAATATGAGTATTCCCTTGAGATGCAAGCTTCTCCCACACAAGTGGCATATATAGCTAGCTTTTGCTCAAGAAATTTATGCCGTATTCTACAGTCGCTAAAGGCTGAATTCAGCTACCCTTTTGACCCGGGGCCAGCCCCGGTCCCAATTTTGGGGGTTTGAATTTCCAAAAAAATAGTTTTTTAGCATCTTCAAATCTTCAAGAACCCATCATATTATACCAGAATTAAAGCTTTCAGGGCTCAACGGAGAGTCTATAAGGCCCAACAGACTTCCAACTAGTCAAAATCAGTGTTCAAGGTGGTAATTGATCTGATTTTGTGGCCAACCTTTTGTTACGGCTAGAGCTATTAAGTACTTAAGCTAGCGGGCCTAAGTACTTAGGTGGCTAAGGTACTACGTTTATTAGCATAATACAGCCTAAATATATGCTTAGGTCCCAAAATGTGGGAATTTTAGTAAAACAAAATAATCAACTTTTGAACCGTTCAACTTTTTTGATTTTTTTTTACATTTTCAGATTGAGCTCATTCAGCCCATTCCATGAATGTCCTGGTATAGAGTGTAGTGTAGAATTGAGTTAGGGTAACACCGGGTCAAAGTTGAAATTTTGATCTTGCGGGCGAGGGGTAGTTGGAATCTGGCTTTAGCGACTGTATGTCCTACAACCTACACATCCCTTGTTCTGAAATGCCTCCTCCAAGATTGTAGCAAGTACACGGAATCTAATTTGGGGTGGATTTGGGAATCATTGAGGATAGGTATCTGGGTACTGAAAACTAACATCATGCACATGTTCCTGCCACATGATTACAGCGAGTAAGATCACAAATAATTGACATGTTAATTGCATCTTGGGACTAATATGAGGATAGGAAATTGGCAATAACAGCTTCTATGAGATAAGAACTAATTTTCAGACTTCATACGCAAAACAATGTGTCAACAAGCAACGTATATGTAACCGTGTCTATGAGAATATCAGAAATGAAATTTCAATAGCTCAATGCTACATTATTGAAGAAAGCACATGAGCTCAACTCTTGGAATGAACATATCCTAGAATTGGGAGCTTTGGCCAACAATCTGTGAAGCACTTCACAGCACTGAGGAGATATATAAGGAGGAATTTCCAATGGAGAGTAAACAATATTTTCTGGCAAACTCCTACCACCGCCTGAAAAGGAATCTAAAGCAGTAGATAACAAACGAAAAGTCAGTAAGGATTTAGTTGTGGAATACCAGAGGTCTTTCTTTGGTCGTAGTACATACCGGACTTGAAAGGATCCCTGCCCGTTACTAATTGGTATAAGATCACACCTAAAGACCAATAATCGCCAGCTCTTGATTGTTCATTCCGGAGAACAACTTCCGGACCTTTAGTTTCTCGGCTATCGCAATCTTCATAGGCCCAAACATCCTCATGGCCTATATTCAAATGGGGATCCAAGGCTGAAGCAAAGTCTGATATTTTGATTATACCATCGTAAGTAACAAGGACATTGTTGAGCGTGAGATCTCTATGTATGATTCCCTTGGCGTGTATATAGTCAAGTCCATCGGCTATTTGGAGTATATATTGTTTTGCGAGACCCTCTGGCATGCGCGATTGTCGAATCAATTGTGCAAGATTCGTTGAAGCTAGCTCCATCATTATACAAGCGGTCTTCGAGTAGAATCTACATCCGAAAAATCTGACAATGCAAGGGTGGTCAAGAGTCCTCAAAATTTCGACTTCGCGCCTGATAGAGGGGGTTGGTTTGTTGCCTCGCGGTCCAGGGGATGGAATAACTTTTAAGGCAAACGTAGCTGGACGAAAACGGGCTTCGGCTTTTACGACGATCGAATAACCGCTCGACGAAACCTTTTCAAATATCGAAAATTCGTTCATAATTGGGATTTTATCTATGAGAGCGACGGCATTTCCTAGTAAGTCGCCACTTGAGTGATTATTGATCATGATTAGGTGATAAGAAGCGATTTTTATGAGGTGATAGGTTGTCTAAGATAGAAAAGGCAGGAAGTCGATCGAACCTGGGAGAAAGTTCAGAGTAAGATATATATCAGACTTGATTATAAAAACTGGAGCGAAGATAGAAAAGGTAGTAAGGTAACCAAAAAAGAGATGAATTGTGATAGAGGGGACGAAGCGTGAAAGAAAATATACCAGACTTGATGGTGGATGAGTTGCGTAGTTAGAGTCAGGTGGTTTGAGTTGAGTGTTTGAGTTGAACAGTTTGACTACAGACGGCGGATTTATATACCATAGGTAAGGCGAAGGATGAGGGAAATTTTGACGCAGAATCTGAGCTGAGGGCATTAGATGTCATCAACAAATGCTATGTAATCGTAAAATCTGATAAAAGGTTAATAAAGCCTTGTGAAAGTCATTTACCACAGCTTGCAGATGCAGATGCTTCTTTTCATTGGTTGAATCAGTGTCAGAGATGTGAGTTAGACATTATGAGGAATCACAAACCTCAGTAAAAAACGGTGTATTGAGATCAAGCTTATGTCAGACGTCCTTCCTTCGGAAGGTGATGTGAAAGCGAAGGCATCGAGTTGAAGTTAAACACTTTATATCTTCGGGATGCAGAAGAATCTATGATATTTTTGCAACTTCATCAGCACCTGGTTCAATAGCTTAACACCCAGTGAACAGCTTGTAGCCTTATAGCCCGAACTGATTGCGAGAGCTACGACTCGTTGAGTCTACCACCTGAGAAGAGCCGCGCAAAGAGTGAATTCATCAGCAGGAAAATCACAATTGTGTTTATTGAGATGTAATCTCAGGGGATAGATTTGGGACTTCATAGATATTGCTTACCAAATTTTGCACATCTGTAGCGCACTACAAACACACGGATCTCTCTTTTTGTTTCAGTTGAAAAATATTGAAACAAAATCGACTCAGTTCGCGCCATCCATAGTCATCAGTTGACTAAAGATACGTACGCACTGCTATGGAAGTAGATACATCTCTGGGCTCGAAAATCGATCTAATAACGCCCCAAAGTCAAAACGCTCATCATATATACTCAGAATGCGACCATAGGATAACCTGCGCAGGATTTATTCACAAAATCTGACGAAATAGCTGATGATGATCGGCTTTCATTCAGACCTTATCAGGTACCTCTAAGAGAAGTTGGCCAGATTGATTTCGCGTCCTTTGAAGTTGGCTTGAGATACAAACGAACACTGCGAGTGCAAAAAGCAGAGACTCCAAGCACCAAAAGAGCTGAGTATCGATTCTTATTTCGTTGAGAAAAGTCAATAGGACCGCGCAAAATGCATATACCACAGTTGATACCTATGCTCCATCTCATTTACATTGACTAAAGCCTTCTCAAGCATCTTTCAAAAAATTATAATCGATCGAAAGTCGGATCTTTGGTGATTGTGCGTCAGATAACTTACTAAAGAAGTTACATAGCAGAGTTCATCAGAATATCACCAAAAGCGCGAAGCATGAATTTCCAAAATCCGCGCTCATCAAAGCAGCAAAGCGATTTTATATAGACGCAACTGATGAAGTTGAGAACCCTGGTTCTTATTGGTACAAAATTTATCATAAATTCAAATCAGGACGTTTCAGAATGCAGATAAACGTCAGGTTTGCACAATTGGGACAGGAAATATCATTTTGAGAGCTAGGCAAAGTAAATGTCTATACATACGGGTATCATCAGCTACCAACATTGTTGAACCAGAACCAAAAATCACATCCCCCTAAATCATTTTTATTAGAAATCGATCCTATCTCAAAGGCATGGTGAGATCTGAGTGGTGGGTGGCTTATGAGGAGCTTATAAGTGGGGGCGGGTAGAAATGAGCTGCGCACAAAGATCTCCATCCATCTTTTTACAAAACTATTCACATTCACAAGACGCAGAAGGGAGTATGATATGCTTCCTATCTCGCTCTCACTCGGTCACGGGCAAAAGCTAAACCCATACACATCAAAGTTCTACCCGGATCTCTCTCTTCTGTGATAAAGCTGAGGGATCTGACTGGCAGTTTACTCTGAAAAAGATTGAGGCTCTTTAGTACAAACACGGCTGGTAATCTTCACCACAAAAGATAATAAATATGAATGAAAGCAAAGAAAAAATATTTCAGGAGAATAAAACGAAGGAAGAGTACAGTGTGAAGAGTGCAAAGCCATCTGATTTTTTTAAACGAAGTAGATCCAAAAAGTACATTACTACCCCAGTGGAAAATTGAGAAAGAATACTTGATTTTACATCTACATACATTATAATCATGTTGTACGCTTGAAATGCATAGGAGCGCGCCTCTATGGTTATTGTGCAGATATCATGTTGTGATTGAGATTGCATCTCATTTTGGCGAGGTTCAAAAGCCTTTTTTACGGGTATGATAGAGAACAATTCTTGCAATTAAATGACACCATTGTGAGATGATGTTGCAAGTCCAACTATCGCACCTGCATGCTCAAAAGAGTTCAATCCTGAAGGATGAACCGAAAAATATTAAAACTCAGCCCACTTTCTTTTTGCGACTTGAAGAGTTCGAGAAGTTTGGCATTGAATTCCTCACAAGAGAAGATTCACCCGGCACTCAGTGAATCAGATTCGAAATTATTTGATGACAAGATCGGTGATCATGTTTATGCGATCACTTTTGCGCCTGGTCCTTTCAAAAGTTATTCACTTAGTGCGCAGTCCACACCGCTAGCTAATGCTGACCTCAGCTGCATCGTGGATTAACACCAATCTGTTTGGTAAAGACAGCCTAACGCTTTTCGAGAGTTTGTTCACGCGCGCCCAATGCGCCCCAGTCACAGTGGTGCCCGCGCCGCTCCGGCGGCCGATGTCTTGCGCTTACAACACCAGGTCCACATCTGTCCTCATACCTTTTGTGATGTTCCGATCCTCCGTTTATACGATTGATCTTCTGCCATTGATTTGATGAATCCTCCATGTAAGGAGATGATTGCGGGATGCAGTAATCATAATGAGTAATCATAATGATATTCAAAGTGACCACGACGCATTCTTTATCGATTAAAAAAAGGAAAAAAGGCCTATTCAACCAGCTGCATTTTCGGTTTAAGGATCCACGTCCTGATCCTGTGTGGACTGTCGTTCACGAGAGAAACTCGAGTTCGAATGAGCCGATCGAATCAATCAACGTAGCTGATATACCATAGCTTTTTGCTCTCAATACAGGTCTTTGCGGAGACTTGAAGTGTGCAACCGAGCCAAAGTTGCAATACTAGTGAAGGTCGTACATAAGATCAACTCGGAATCATACCATTGCTAGCGATCGTCGTCCACTTTCTGCGGGTATTTTAGAATGTATATAATATTAATAAGGATATGATAGTTCCTGGGCAAAGTCGCGCTGCTGGCAAAAGCCCAACCTCACATCTGAAACCAAAGCCCGCGAATTACACACAAGAGGGTGACGTACCACCCTACCGAGCCAGCTCCAGCTATCCGACTACCTCACAGGTTATTAATTAAAATCAATTAGGTTTTAAGCTGAAGGTGGGTTGATCAAGAGCATGTCACTCCAGAACAAACATCATCCCGCGACATCCTGGGGGCCTTTTCACGTTGTATGCATTTCCATTCAGACCCATATGACCACGAACACAGCTCAGCCATGTAAAATTTCAAGTTGGACCATCAGGAGGTTTGTGAACCCCTCCTGCAGAGAAAATCCCAATGATTTCTGAACTTTGATGAATCCTACCGCTGCATCAAGATTCAATACCCAATGATGAACGATACCTTTTGTAGTATCACTAATCAATTCCTCACTGCTCTCTGGCAAGTTGTAACAGCATGTCTCAAGATGGCCTTTTGTCAAATGGTGTCAATCTCGTTTGAGGGGGCATCATGCTGAAGTATACAAAATATAAGGTTTCTCTTGAGATGTAAGCTGATGGCATATAGGTGGCATGAATAGCCAGTCTTTTTTGGAAATCCTTTCTCTTTCTTATTCCCTGAGACCTAAAAACCTTTGGTTTACAACACTGATGATGAGTACATTGAAAATGATAATTTACAGTGAGTTTCACCAGGGTAAATTTTGGAGCCTTTTTAGAGACGCTCAGTTGAGACACATAATGATTCCTGAGCAGTTTTTCTGATTGACAAATCATTTTTGGCAAAAGAACCCCCATGGCACTCTTTTTTCACTTGTGGATGACTCTTATCAGTCAAAAAAAAACCTTTGGTACCAGTACAATTTCAATAGCACTGCACTGTCAGTTTCTTCCAAATGTCCCTGTTAAGTCTCAAAAACTGAAGAGACGGGACAAGTCCTTTCATTTTTCTAGATCCATGTTGAGGGGTATCAAAATGTGGATGTATCTTAAGAGTCAATTTGAGCTGTGAGACTTGCCAGATTATCTAGATTTGTCTTGGTAGCTCTCATGAAACCAAGACACAATAATCCCTTCCCTGCAAGCAGGATGGATCAATTGTAATAATCCACAAGGCATTGTTTCTCCCATGAATCTCTCAGGCGGGTAGCTTCTAGCTGCTTAAAGTTATTTGCATCAGGGTGGAGAGGCTCAATGGGAAAGAACCCCCATGCCAAGTCAAGGGCGCCGTTACAGCCTTTGGTACATAGGACCCGGCATCACACCAAGTCTGTATTGGGGACGGTTATCCGATGGGCTGAAATGTTTGACACACAATTGAAGCCTGATGGTAAAGAGTAGCGAATTGACATTTGCCACTTCAAAAACCAGATGCCAGCACTCTGTTATTCAGAAGATACCAAACTGTGAGCAACTCTGGTCATGGACTGGTCATGGAGAAGACACGTACTGAAGTTACATTATGCTCATCAATACATTTTATTGGATAAAAGTAATGATGCCCTCCGGTAAGTCCGATTTTTGCTGTTGCTTGAGTGAATCAGCAAGGCAGTTAACACAACTTAACATTTTATTTCTTTGATACAGTGCTCAAGGAATCATCCCACCTCTTCCTAAAGCTGAATCTCCACCTGATAGCCCAATTTGTTCAAATCATGATGATGCAAAGGATAGGCTGGGATTACTTCTCGACAACGCTTTCACAACTGATGCATTGGTCAAATTAGAGCTAGACAATCTAGATTTGGAGGATGAATTACCGACTGATATTATTGAAGCTTGGAGAGAGTCAAGATTAGAAGCACTTAGTGGGGCAAATGCAGTGCGACGAGAAGCAAGTCAAGTTTTGGTCCAGGAGTTCGACCGATTGGAAGAGAGGATTACGTACAAGAGGTGAATCGAGCAAGTGAAAATAATCTCCCTGACTGTTATTCTGATGGAGGTGGCCAAAGAGCCGGGAATGGTGTAGTACTTTGCTTGTGGAATAAGTGCGCTTGATACCATACAACTCACAAACGCTCTGAACAATCCATGATCTGATCTGAATTGATTCCTTGAACAGTTTGCCACAGTCTCAACACCTTATCGCTCAACTGGGGCGATTATCTTTCCTATATCCGACAACACATTGTTTATGATAGCCGGTAGATCTTCTTTCGATGATTACCCGGACGCCAATCAGCCAACTCTCTTATGCTACCGTGGAGGACGGTGCGTACGTCAGTAACCAGTATGTAGGAATCGGTGGTGGTGGAAACACACAAGGCACGCAATTCAAGCGATTGGTGACTTAGTTGGAAGATTTAAAAGTTGAACTTGAGTCAATTGGGATGCTAGATGAAGATTTGAAGGATCAAAGAGCTTCTGCCCCTGCCCAAGCGGTTTTTAAGAATGAAAATGTTGGACGAGAGTGACAGTGATGATTCAGAAAGTGCTTGAAATTCAGCAAGAGGGTCTAGGAAGACGAAAAATATGCTCCCAACTGGCTCCATCATGCTCATTGTTTGTGGTCATAGGCGATACATTCTGAAAAAATGGGCAATGAAGGTGCTCCACGTACCCTTCACCCCTCATTACCAACAACTCAGAGATCCGTATCAT